ATGACATTGGGCTGCCTTTCTGAAGGTCAGCCCACAGCAAAAGAGAGAAGACTTGGCAAACCACATACAGAGCATATGGTCCCAGTTCCAGAGGGACCTGCTCACTCCATATCCTCCCCCATCAGCAGGCCTGGCTGGAAGGCTGGGGGCAAGGAGCAACACGGACAGGGAGAGACTCTCGACCCAAGTTCACAGTGACAGCAAAATCAAAAGAGCAAAAGGTCATACAAACTCCTACAATAATAAGAAAAAGACAATAAGACAATTAGAAGAAAAATGGGCAAGAGACTTAACTTGGAACTTTATAAAAGGGGACATCCAAGTAACCAATAAGTAGATGAGTAGGTGCTCTCATTTAGTTATCAGAGAAATGCAAGTTTAAACTATTACATAATTTCACTACATATCTACCAGAATGGTTAAGAAAGATCCAGTTTTGACAAGGATTTGGGGCAACTAAAAAAAAATCACACACATTGCTGGTGAGGCCACTGATTTTTTGTTCGGCCACTCTGGAAATCTGTTTCGCAGTATTTACAAATCTGATTCTGAATAGATGCACACCTTATCACCCAGACATTCCATGCCTAGGTGTAAATCCAACAGCAATGCATACGTACATCCCCATGTGTTATTAAAAAGGTGGCATGAGGGATGAAAATCAGGCAGGTGGAGAGGTGGGTTGTTCACCAAGGAACAGAGTCCCCGTGGTCACTCGAGAATGGTGGGGAAGACCAGACAAGGATATGTTATATCAGAATCAAGTGAGAGGAGGCAGAGTCAGAAGATGAAAGAATCAAGCAGTGGCGGAGGATGTCAGCACCAGGCAAGTCCTGGTTAATTCAGGGGTGGGATTATCAGCCCCACTTTGCATTTCTGTGTTGCCTCTGGTTAAAGCATGGAGCCTGAGCCTTGTGAAAAAATCAACTCTGGTTGACAGTGTTAGATTTCAGCACTGGGAACCACTTTAAGGAGAGATGCTAAAACAAACAAAAAGAATCTTTGGAAGTAACTTTACAAAAGACAAAAAAATAAAAAAGATTGAACCAGTATTGCTGAGTGAGCTTCTTGTACTGTCAAACACATAATTCATACTTCCCACCAAGCAAGACTAACAGTGAACTCGCTCCTGGGCTTGCGGTCCCCGATAAGACTTGTACCTTGGCACTCAGAGATCCTTGTGATCTTCAGTCTCCAGCTGTGAGCAGAATGCAGGCCACAAAACAGTGATTAGATGGCTGTTATTGCCACCATGGGCTAAACTGTTAATATTGCATCATGAAAGAAATAATTTTAATGTGCTCATTGGGCATTTAAAAATACTGGAAAAGGCATGGATTACCAGAATTGTGCTAAAATCTCAGAATTAGGTGGAAAGCCAAAAGATTTTTTTTGACCACCACTTTTTACCCAGCATCTCTCAACGAGGAATAGTCCCACCCTCAGCGGGCATTCGAAAATGTGTGTATGTGCATGTGAGTCACAGCAACTGGGGGGCATTACTGACATTTATTAGGCCACAGATGCTAAATTTTCGGTATAGTCTGAGAAAACAATCATTTTTGTCTAAAATGCCATCCTGTTGAGAACACCAGACACTTGTCAAACTGCAAGAATGGTACTAGGCTGAAATACAACCCCCATTCTGCTCACCTGGTAAACTCCAAACTATACAGAATGAACATATATTTAGGAGGTAACACTCCTAATTCCTTGCAATTGCTCTCCTGTGACCATGCCTTATTTAATTTTGTATACCCACAGGTCAGAGTGGAGTGTCTGATACACAGTAGGTATTCCATAAGTATTTGCCAAAGAACTGAATAGATAAGTAAGTTCATCGAGGCATCTCCTGTTTGTATGGGCAGTAGGACCACATTGCAGTACTGTTACAGCTTTTGAAGATCACGTGGATCTGAAACACACAGAGGAGAAATAATGGTGAATAAGGTATAAATGGATGTAAGGAGCTCTGCTCCTAACTTTCAAAATTTCACATTATGTTAGGCAAAATAATGGCTCCTATTCTAGGATGTACACATCCTAATCCCTGGGACCTGTGAATGTCTCTATATTCAGCAAAAGGAACTTTGCCAATATGATTAAGAATTTTGAGGCGAGAGGTTATCTAAGATTATTTGGGAGGGTCTGATGTAATCACAAGGGTCCTTACAAGAGAGAAACGGCAGAATCAGAATCATGGAGATTTAAAGATGCCATCCTGGTGATGCCATCTTTGAAGGTGAAGAAAGGGGCCATAGACTAAGGAATCCAGGCAGCCTCTAGAAGCTGGAAAATAGAAGGGAATGGATTTTCTTCTAGAGCCTCCAGGAGAAACACAGCCCTACTCATTCATGTAGACTTCAGAATTTTAGAATTATAAGATAATACAGTCACATTATTTTAAGCCAGTAATTTGTGGTAACTTGTCACAGCAGCAATAGAGCACTAATACGCACATGAAGAAACTTCAGATCAAGAATAGTTGGACTGCTCAAGGTCAGGCGATGGGGTTACACAAACATCAGCAAAAAAGCCAGGTCTGCTGATCACCACTGAAGTGCTTCCTAACATCACCATTGAGAAAGAATACTGAATAACCCTTTCTGGAGAGAGCTGAGCGTTCTCAATTTTCTCAAGCTTTATAAACAAACTTCATGAACAGTGATCATGCCTGTAAAATACAACTTTTCAGAAATCTGCCCTCTCATTAGGTGTTATCCTGTCAACCTGGTGATGGGACGTGGCTCACAGTCAACCAGAGCACAACCTGGGTGTACTGGGGTATTTAGGCAGAGGTCTGGGTGAAGATATCTGTTGGTGTTTTTTTAGGCACATTAGAGTTTATTTTAGGCCTACAGAGTCAATAGAGTCTGACTCTATTGAGGAATTTCATCCTCTTCTGCCTGAATGAGGGAATTCCAATTAAATGCCTTCTCTCTGCCTGAATGTGTCCTTGTTTCCCTAAGAGCAGCGGCTGTACACAGCAGCACCTTGAGAGTTTGGCCTTAGTAGAATCATCAAGACGAAGCCCAAGGAACCAGCTGGCTCACATTTGCAGCTGTCACGCCACATCCGGGCCTTCAGGAAAACGAGTCTAACCAGCGTTATAACTCCTGGCCCTGCCTGTGCTCCATGGACAGCTACACAGGTCTGCAGGGGTGTTCTTGATAGAATGTAGACAATTTTATATTTAGTCTCAGTGGCGTTGGAGTGCAGAGGGAGATTTTCTGAGGATATTAATAGAAAGTGCTGTTACTATTACTGATCTGTGCCTTTTCTTTTGTCTATGTATCAGGAATTTTATTGGGCTGGCCCAATAGAAACTAGAAGTTATAATGGCTTAATAACAAATATGTGCTTTTTTCTTTCTTTCTCAAGAAATAGAAGCAAGGAAGTAGATAGCCCTGGGCTGGCTTGCAAATCATCTCACCTGCAAGAAGCTGGGCTTCTTCAGTTTTCCTTTCCTATCATTCTTAGTGTGTGATTTGCATCTTCAAGCTTATCTCAGGTGGCAGTTGGAGCTCCACCCACCCCACTCTCAGCCTAGGCTGAGGCAGGAATCAAAGCAGATGAGCAAACACATGGCCCCAGCTTTCAGTCTCTAATGAAGGAACATTCCTAGACACCCTGCCCCGTAGCTTCCAGTACTTGCATTCATCAGCACTTAGTCACATACCTTGCCCTAGCTGCAAGAAACACTGGAATCTTGAGGTTCTGTTACCAACCAAGAGGGGAAGACTCGATACTGGTTGGGCCACCAGCTGTCTGTCACACCTTTATTTTGCATCCATACCATGTGGTTTCTTCCCATAACTAGGCATATCTCCCTGTTTCCTCCACAAGGTCTGAATTTTAGAAGAGCCACCCCTTGTCATACAAGGACTGCAGTGGAAGGTGAAGTGTTATTCAGATACTGGCACTGGATTAATATGGGTGTGAACAGGTCCTGCCAATGCCGAATTGTACCTGACCTTGCACTCCTGGAGGTTAAGGGCCTTCTCTCCATCCTTTTGTGTTCTGGGAAACGGCTTATTGCAAAAAAGCCCCCCTGCTCCACATGCCTTAGAGAAGACTCTCAGGTGCCCCCTGTGTTTCCCGATGACAAGGCCAGACACAGACTCTAAATTTCCATTCTTTGCCTTATAAATGATTATCTGTTTTGTTTCCACTGATCAATTGGAACAAAATGCTTGTACCCAAACCCTGCTTAAACTTCTCTGCAGAGGCTGACCTTTGGCCACCTCTAGCCAGAGCCAGCACACAGCCCCTCCTGAGCAAAGGTTGGCCTCCGGGAAAAAGATTCTTTGATTTACTGTCCAGTCCTGCCAGTCTTCATCCCACTTCCCCACATCTGGTTCTCTCCAGCCACACTATCCCTCTCTGAAAAGAAAGCCCTACCTCTGACTTGCTTGCAGATTTTACAATCAGATTGTTCCCCCTTTTGCAATTGTCATACCCCCCCCACACACTTTGCAATAATCCTTTTGAGTAACAGTCTGTCTTTACTAAGCCAAGAGTTGTTTTCCTTTGACAGCCCCCAAATATTGGGGCACCAGACAGGCACCCATGGACATTCTCGAATGGGCAGGCTGGGGGCAGATTTTGCTGCTGTTGCCAGGTAAAACGGGGTACCTGTTCTCCCATACAGTCAGTGTTCCCTTGAATCTGCTGTCCCTTAGGACTGACAGGTGTGGGAGGGGCAACTGGTACAAGGACTGCAAATAGCCTCTATATGTATCAATAGCAATAATGGTAGAAGTTGGAGGTTATACAGAACTGCTTGGCAGAAAAAGGAATAAAAGAGTTTGTTGTCAAAATGGTTGGGAGACTCTGGGTTAAGTGGGTTAACAGGTAAGGTTTTTCACAGACATTTTGTGAAATGCTCAACAATAGAATATTGCATACAAGGCTTCCCCAAATTTTTAGACCATGATTTGCCAAACACCCAGGAATATCATGAGGAACAGTTTGGGAAATGCTGACTTAAAGCCTTTCCTATACTTCCCAGGCAGGAGATAGCGTGACCATGGGGGTGGTTTTCCCAGGGCAAGGCTTACCCATTGTGCTCTGGATGTGCTGACCCCTGTGATTTCCCCAGATGTGGAAACTCAACTGCATAATTTTTGGGAGTGTAGGACAGTGAAAATAAAGGATTTCCTGTGCTCTTCTGTAACTGCCTGATGCACCATGTAGAAGACAAGCTTGCCTTTGAGCTATGGTCAGGAAGAGGGGATCAATGCTTCAAAGCCAGTGGTTAATGCTGCAGGTGGATATCAGATACATTTGAGTGGCAGGTGTCCTCTCTCTTTGAGTAAAGAGATATGCTAAGTAGCCTTTATCCTGGGGGAAACACAGTAAATGGGTCAGATTTTCCAACTGGAAGATGCTGTGTTTAAGACATTTTTGATTTATGGCAGCTTTTGTTTGACCCTGGCTTTCCAGTTTGCAACTAATGTCACCAGGGTATCTGCCTAATGCACGGTGGTGAATTTTTCATGGCAAGACATGTATTTGTGCTATTGGCCTCCAGGGCAAGAAAAAAGCGTGGCATGTCAAGAGCAACATAAATTGTTCGGTAAATCTTTATTCCCCCTAGACCTCCCTGCAAAGTCCCATTATTCGTTTCCCACTCAACCGTTCATTCATTTACAAACATTTATTGAGCAACTTCCATTTCTAAGTACTGTGGGGGATACAGAGATGTATAAACCAACGTGGGGATATAAGTGTATGGGCAGCAGGTGTGAACATGTAAAGGAACAAAAAGAAATTTGAGTGGGGATCCCTCTGTGGCGTGAGTGGTCAGGCGTCTCAAACGCTGCCAGTGAACATGCTTATCTTGTAAGAATAAGTCTCGGTTCTGTAAGACTCTCCTCTAGGGGCTCCCAGAGGGATCAAATGCCATGTCTCTTTTTGGGTTCAAATCCCAGCTATGTCATCTTAGGCAAGCATTCCGGAGCTTCAGCACTTAATCCCCTTTACTGTAAATGAGGGGCTTCAAACAGTTCTTAAAGTTTCTTCAGCTCAAAACAATATACAGTTGACCTCTAACAACATGGGTTTGTACTGTGTGGGTCCATTTATACATGGATTGTTTTCAATAAATACACTGGAAAATATTTCTGAGGTTTGCAACAATATGAAAAAACATTTTCTTTTCTCAAGCTTACTTTATTGGAGGAATACACTATATAATAGATATAACATATAAAAATTCACAGTAATTGACTTTTTATGTTATTGGTAAGGCTTCCAGTCAACAGTAAGCTACTAGGAGCTAAGTTGTGGGGAGTCAAAATCTGTACGTGGATTTTTGACTGGGCAGGGCTCAGTGCCCTTCCACCTGCTAGGTCAGCTATAATTTGGAGAAGTTTAGAGATACACACACACACATACTTGAGATAGAATATGGGTATGATATGCATATACATATACACACATATATAAATGCATGCATATTTTTCACATTTGAAATTTGTCATATCAAATTGCTTCCAGCTAGGGTGTGTATGTAAGACAGGGTCATGGAAAAGTTGGCCTTTACATAGTGGGCTTAAAAGAGGCCCAGGTGTTGGATTTGAGAAGGTGGGGATGCTGAGATGGCATCATTCAGGACAAAGTGCAGGGTCAAAGGCACAGGGCAGGGAGGGAGAGGTCGGGGCGTCTGTGGGCTGGCTCCCAGTGTGGGTATGGGTGACCGTGGAGTACGGGTTTCATGGCCGCAGAGCCATCTCCCCTTTGCTCACAGGGCTCCATCCCCACCCTGTCTCTCTGTTCTCAGGCCTAGGCACTTGCTCCTCTCTCTGCTTGACTTGCTCTGCCCCCCTTTGTAGGCACATCCTGTGCAGTCTTCAGACTCCCTCCCTCCCAAGGGAGCCCTTCTGAGCATCCACACCCCTGCACACCCAGGTGTCAGTCTCCAGCTTATGGCCTCCGAGCTCTCCTCACCATTTCCAGTAATGTTTCAGCACACCTGTCCATTGGGGGCTTGTCTGTGTCCTTGGGAATGGGAGCCCATGAGGTGGAGGGCAGCACTCGCCAGGCTACTCGAGGGTTCCCTGTGTGCAGCATGGGGCTGGCATGCTCTTGGTAAACATTTTTTGAGGGAATGAATGAATGAGCTGTAATTCACACTGTTGTAAAATTCAGGGGAACCATAAACTGCATACTTCTTGAATGCACAGAACCTCTGTTATATTTTTCAATTTAATGCCTTCCCCAGTGCCTACCCAGTTCAACATACAGGGGATATAGACCAAAAGAAAAAAATATTTTTTAATGAAGTAAAGATGTGATGCCCCCTTGCTTTGCGAGTTATGGTGAAGAGGTCCCTTCCCTTGATGCTCAGGAAGGGGTGGTGGAAGCCTGCACAGACCCTGAGCTCTTGGTTTTGCCAAGAACCACACCTTTGTCCCCCTGTTGGAAGAGATCTCAGTGCCTACCCCCAGCTCTGTACCCCGATACTGCCCCCCAGCCCTGCTGCCCCACAACACCGTGACCCACTCAGCTGCCCCTTGGCCCTGCCTGGTGCCCTAGCACTCGGCCCCTCCTTGAGGCTGCTCCCAGACCACAACTGCCCCCCGACACTGCCCTCTTGGAGGGTGCTTGAGCGAGACTCTCACACCTAAAATCTGATGCCAGTTCTGGGCCTGGACAATAGCATGGTGGTCACCTGGGAAGCGGGAAGCTCTGGTTTCTTGCCTGCAGCAGCTTTTTGTGTGTGACTCATGACCCCATTTCCTGCTGTTCCTCCTTTCTCTTTCGGGGCTGTACCTGGTCACCTGGTCACCTGGGCACAGTCCTCAGGCCTTGCCCAGATCTGAGCTCAAGATGATGTTTGCTCAACAGGAACAGCCAGAAGGTGTCTCTGATTTCCCCTAGGTGTGTAAGCTCTGGAACCAGGTCCCAGAGAGGGCAAAGGCCGCAGTGAGAGTTTGTACAAATATTACCCAAATACCCCAAACTGTGATGATCTCACTCTACTAAGTAAGACATTTCTTCCTTTATTTGAGGATGAATGCTGGCCTCTTAACTGAAGACTGTGCCAAAAAAATGGTTGCCTGAGTTTAAACATTTGTACTATGAGTAATAATTGACAAAGGACATTCCTATATTATGACTAGTAATAATAGAGCTAAATGATATTATTATAAGCCTTTAAGAGTTTATACAATACTTCCTTTTACATTACCTCATTAAAGTCACAGCTGAATCCTCAGAGTAGTATTTTATTAGCACAAGAAAACTGTGACTCAGAGAGTTATGTGCCCAGTGTCATTCATCTGGAGAGCAGCAGAGGATAGAATCTAGCCCACGGCCTCCTCAAAATTCCCATGCATTTAAACACATCTCAGTGTGCCCTTTCTCCATGGAAACTAGGCCTTGTGTGGGGCTACTTGGGTGATGGCCAGGTAGGGCTAGAAGACCTGAGTAAAATTATCAGGTAAAACTTGTTATAGGATTTTTTTAAGGAAGAAAAAGGGGGAGATCCCTGGAAGTAGGAACCAGAATCCCACTCCTACAGAGAGTACAAGTGAACTAATGTTGGGATCTCTTTACAATCACTTAGTTTCATCATCATTCTAAGAACCACAGAATGCCACATTCTTCTAAGCATTCCCATTCCACATGGGAATAAATTTAGGCCTGAAGTGGTGATAAGACTTGTGGCAGATTGTATACAATTAGCTCCATCTCACATTTGCCTGGGTAATGTGACTTGGCCTCTTTTTCCATTAAGGGGTGGAGTCTATTTTCTTCCCCCTTGAATCTGGGCTGGCCCTATGATTTACTCTGAGTATTTGAGTCTGATGGAAATAACAGTCAGTGACATCCAAGGCTAGATCTTCATAGGTCTTTCTTTCTCCACACTTTTAGAATATTGAGAACAACATACTTTGAGAAAGTACAGTCTAACCTATTAGAGGATGGGAAACTGGGAGAGTAGAGGCCGCCCAACCAAAAGCCAGCAACAATGGCTGGGTGTTCCTGTGAGGCCAGCTTGAACTTTGCAGCCATCCAACCCTGTAGTTGAATGCAGCTGTGGGAGACTGAGTGCAGGAGAAATCAGCAGAGGGACAGCACAACCAAGCTCATCATGATTCTGTGAAGTCCTCAGAGAGAACAAATTGTTGGAGTTTTCAGCACCCTGAGTTTGGGGCAACCAGAGGCCAGGTCACGTTACCCAGGCAAATGTGAGGTGGAGCTAATTGTATATGATATGCCACAAGTCTTATCATTACTTCAGCACATTTTTCGTTTTAAAATTGGCTGTTGCGTGGTGTCCATGAAAGGAAGGGAACAGGACTGTCGGGACTGTGGTGGGAATCATTTTCCTAGGATCTTGGGCCCTGAGTAGGAAAGGTCTGACATTCTCTCTTGGCCGCAGGGTCACATCATCACACTCCAAGGGAACCAGCCCAAGCATGAAGCCTCAAAGAGCAGAGGGAGACTCTGCCTGCACGTGAGCGGGCAGAAATGAATGAGCACTTCCATACCCAAAACCGAAAATAGTTGGATTGGCTTTGGGACCAGTTGGTGTGTGAAAACTGTAGGGTATGGAGAAAGTAGAAAGAACTAGTAGAGGCTAGAGAAGGCCAGCCCACATACAGTCGTGGAACAATAGCAAAACTGAATCCTGAGGTATCTGGGGAGATATAAAACGTACCTCATGAACTTGAGATCCTGACCAAGGAAATTTCCAACTGTAATTTTGAAGGGGCCAAGTTGCTTTAATAAATTATCTTATCTGCATATCTTCTAATGAGATATTGGAAGAGAGAGGAACTAAAGAAGGAAAGGTTCAATTTTTATGCAGAATTTAGAGGAAATATAGGAAGGCTCAGAATGTGCTGGGTTGAAAAATAAAAAGATTCTCAAAGTAAGAAATGACCTTAAGACCAAATCAAGGGAGTGGCTGTATGACCCTTTATTAAGAGTTCAGACGTAAGGCAGGGCCTAATGGGAACTTTTGGTCTAACCGAAGGGCTTCTGAGATTCTGAAGGGAGTGGTCTTAAAGCAGCTTCACCTATAGCCCAAAGGAGAGAGGGACCTGACATAAAATCATCACAGATAGAACTTTGGGGGCATGGAGTCAACAGTAATCAGATTCATAGGAACGACATAAGGTTTTAAAGATTGTTGTATTGGTAGCTGGCAGTG